AACTCCTTGTACAACATGCCCGGACTATCTCCAACCATCAAAAATTTAAGCAAGTGCAGTTTTGAAATACCGGTAATGTCTGACGCAACGCACGGGTCCACTATACTAATCCAATCTTCCATCGTATCGAGGAAAATACATTTGGGAGGCTTTTTGTGGGATTGCTTTATGAGCTCGAAGAACTCGTCCATAGTATAAGCGTCTACGTCTTTCAATTTCTTCGAGAAAACGCTGAAAGTAACGTCAACGTCTGTATGGGTTTGTCCCACCAGCATGAAACCTATTTCTACCTCTTCAAAAACTTTGAACTTAACCAACAATGCAGCCAAGGCACATATGTAGTTGTTCTTGTTTTCCCGCCAACAATTATCTGCTTGAATGCGCAAAAACCGTGGCAGTGGCGTCCCGCTCCCTTGAATTTCGACAAGGGTTCTCATAACACAAGTAGCGACCGTGTTGGAATCGTGTTTGAAATACGGAAACCACGTGTACACATATATACTAGGGTCTCTGCCGTGTGCAATGACGCCTGTCAGATTAGTCTATCCTTAATACTTTTCATCCACCACTCAGCTCGCTCTCCCGGACTCTTACTGTACAGTCCTTGTCTAACCTTTCGCACTTCCTCAGGCGACACGCCGTAACAACATCGAGCCTTGCAACATGCCATGCCGTGAACCATGAGCAGTCTTCTTCCGGACAGCATGTTTCTCGCTCTTTTGTACTGTTCTTTCCTCCTAGCGTTCCTATTAGCCATGCTATACCTTCGTCTTTCGCCTGGTAGAGGTGCGGGCAAAATCTGCAGTATCGCCCTTCTCTCTGCATCACCCCTSCCAGACGATTCCGAMCCAGACTCGCTCTGACTTGGAATCGCATCATCACTTCGCATATGCGTTGGACTCGCCCGTGCTGTGGAAAGCTCCTCCGAAGAATAGTCGGTGGCAACCAAGTTCGTAGTACTGGAGCTAGCGCGAAGCAAAGGTCCACTGGAATAGGACCGTTGTCCTGACGAGTAATCAGTGGCCACCAACCGCTCACTCTCGTCATCAGACGATGCGTAAGAAACACCCATTGGCACGCAACTGCTGTGCGCCAAAGCTGTGGGGTGCGCCTCGCCAGGAATGTGGAACTCTATCCGGGAGGTAGACGGTTCTTCGGCCGCGGACGTTGTTGCCAATTCTGTGGGCAGTTGGATGCAACCTCCAAAGCTCTCACGAAAAGCGAGATTTCGTTTTCTGGGGAAATCCGCAGCTGACTGTTGGAACGGCAAACTGTCCGAAGAGGTCGTCGGGGCCAACTCCAGGTGTTGTAGCTGGCAATGTAAGTCGACGACTTGTTCAGTTTCCATAGCCCGGTTCATGCGGCCGTTCGCCGAGCCTTCTTCGGCGCCGTCATGCAACCGTCGGTGCAGCGGATGCGATTCCCGTCAGCGCAATGGATTATTCTCTCTTGTGCGGGTCAAACGGGTCGTTCGAATTCGCATCCACACCCTGCAAAACAGCGGAGCAAACTGTAAGCACGGTCAGATTTATGAGTTGAGGGCACAAAGTTCGCCGGGATCCGAATTTAGCGGGTGCAGGAGTAGCAAGGAACCTGTTTTTGCGTGGCTTGTGTCAGTGGAAGGTAGCGCCAGTGGGTGCACACAAGGAACGCTATGTTTGGGCGAACAAAAGGAAGGCTCTGTTATCGGTGGACGATAGCACGCGCAGAACAAAGGGTAGTGGTGGATGCACCACCACATAATTCGGCGTAGCGCGACCCCAAACAGACCCCTATAAACACCGATTCTCACCATCGTCTAAGCGAGCTCGTGCGGTGCTCCATTCGCTGGCACTAGTGCAATAGCGACCCCCGATTCGCGCGCCGGAAACGTCGACGTGCAACAGCGCGAACCAGACAGCACGCAGAAACACAAGCATGTCTGCGTCAGGACTCCGCACACCGCCACGGTCAACACCCTTGGGGGGCAGAAAAGATCGTGGGTGTGAAAAATTGCTCGCCTTCTGAAATTCCCTTGAAGGGGTTTAAGGGGTTTGCCGACGGTGACAACGGTCGTGTCCCTTACTTTCGGCAACCCCCATGAAACCCTTCAAGGGCATTTCAGAGGGCGAGCAATTTCTCGCACCCGCAGTCCTCTCACAATCAACTCACATTTGAAGCTCCAGGCGCCATGCGAAGGACGGATAGATTTGCGCCGATCCTCAAAGTCCGCCAGGATCCGAACTTGGTGGATTTGCCTGCAGCGAGTAACAGGTTTTCGCGCGGCTGCATGTATTGGAACAGGTGGATGGCGTTTGCACAGAAGCAGGCGATGCGTGGCCGCACCGCATTTCGGGGCGGCGATGAACGAAGATCCACGGCACATCGGAAATGCACCCGGTCAGTGACACCGTCATCAACCCCAATAAACCCCTTTCAGGGCAACTCACAAGGCGAGCACTTTTCCGCACTACCAGGCCGCCGGCATTGAAGATGGACTGGGCAGTCCAAGCTGTTGAAAATAACGGTCAGATTTACGGGGAGCCTCTATGTTCGCCGGGATCCGAATTTGGGGGGTGCAGGAGTAGCAAGGAACCTGTTTTCGCGCGGCTTGTGCCAGTGGAAGGTAGCTCCAGTGGGTGCACACAGGGAACGCTATGTTTGGGCGAACAGAAGGAAGGCTCTGTTGTCGGTGAACGATAGCACGCGCAGAACAAAGGGGAGTGGTGGATGCACCACCACACAATTCGGCGCAGCGCGACCCCAAACAGACCCCTATAAACACCGATTCTCACCATCGTCTAAGCGAGCTCGTGCGGTGTTCCATTCGCTGATAGTAGTGCAATAGCTATCGAACACGGACATCTCCACACCGCGCAGACAAGAAAAATGTAGAAAAGGATGAAAGAACCCCCCTTAAACCGTTCCAAACATTGATTCGGCCAATCGAGAAGGCGGCCCCCGATTCGCGCGCCGGGAACGTCGACGTGCGACAGCGCGAACCGGACAGCACGCAGAAACACAGGCATGTCTGCGTCAAGACTCCGCACACCGCGGCCGTGAAAACCCTTGGGGGGGGAGAAAAGATCGTGGGTGTGAAAAATTGCTCGCCTTCTGAAATGCCCTTGAAGGGGTTTATGGGGGTTGCCTTCAATGACAACGGTCGTGTCCCTTATTTTCGGCAACCCCCATGAACCCCTTCAAGGGCATTTGAGAGGGCGAGCAATTTCTCGCACCCGCAGTCCTATCGCAATCAACTCACAGTCGAAGCTCCAGGCGCTATGCGAAGGACGGATAGATTTGCGCCGATCCTCAAAGTCCGCCAGGATCCGAACTTGGCGGATTTGCCTGCAGCGAGTAACAAGTTTTCGCGCGGCTGCAGGTATTGGAACGGGTGGATGGCGTTTGCACAGAAGCAGGCGATGCTCGGCCGCACCGCATTTCGGGGCGTCGATGAACGAAGATCCACGGCATACCGGAAATGCACCCGGCCAGTGACACCGTCATCAACCCCAATAAACCCCTTTCAGGGCAACTCACAAGGCGAGAACTTTTCCGCACTACCAGGCCGCCGGCATTGAAGACGGACTGGGCAGTCCAAACTGTTGAAAATAACGGTCAGATTTACGGGGAGCCTCTATGTTCGCCGGGATCCGAATTTGGGGGGTGCAGGAGTAGCAAGGAACCTGTTTTCGCGCGGCTTGTGCCAGTGGAAGGTAGCGCCAGTGGGTGCACACAAGGAACGCTATGTTTGGGCGAACAAAAGGAAGGCTCTGTTGTCGGTGAACGATAGCACGCGCAGAACAAAGGGTAGTGGTGGATGCACTACCACACAATTTGGCGCAGCGTGACCCCAAACTGACCCCCATAAACTCGATTCTCACCATCGTCTGAGCGAGCTCGTGCAGTTTTCCACTCACAGGTACTAGCGCAAGAGCTTATCGAACTCGGACATCCCCACTGCGTAGACAAGAAAAATGTAGAAAAGGATGAAAGATCCCCCCTTCAACCCTTCCAAACATTGATTCGGCCAGTCTAGAAGGCAACCCCCGATTCTGCGACAAGACTCCGCACACCGCGACGGTCAAAAACCTAGGGGGGCAACAAAGATCGTGGGCGCAAAAAATTGCTCGTCTTCATAAAAATCCCCTCGAAGGGGTTAATGTGGATTGTCGGCGGTGACAACGACCGTGTCCCTTATTTTCGGCAACCCCCATGAACTCCTTGAAGGGCATTTAAGAGGGCGAGCATTTTCTCGCACCCACAGTCCTGTCGCAATCAACACACACTCGAAGCTCCAGGCGCCACGCAAAGGACGGATAGATTCGCGTCGATCATCAAAGTCCGCCAGGATTCGAACTTGGTGGATTCGCCTGCATTCGTAACGGGTGGATGGCGTTTGCACAGAAGCAGGCGTTGCTCGGGCGCACCGCAATTTGGGGTGCCGATGAACGAAGATCCACGGCACACCGGAAATGGAGCCGGCCAGCGACACCGTCGTCAACCCCAATAAACCCCGTTCAGGGCAACTTACAAGGCGAGCAATTTTGCGCAATACCAGGTCGCCGGCATTGAAGACGGACCAAGCTGTCGAAAACAACGGTCAGATTCATGCGGCGCCTCGAAGTCCTCCGGGATCCAAATTTGGCCGGTGCGGGAGTAGCAAGGAACCTGTTTTTGTGCGGCCGGTGTCAGTGGAACGGAGTGCCAACGGGTGCACACAATGAACGCTATCCTCGGCCTCATGGTAGGAAGGCTCTGCAGCTCTCAAGTTGTCGTTGAACGTCAGCACGCGCAGAGCAAAGGGCAGCGGTGGATGCACCACCACAAAATCGGGCGCAGCACGACCCCAAACTGACCCCTAGCGCAAGAGTTCATCGAGATCGGACATCCCAACCGCGCAGGCAAGAAATATGTAGAAACTGATGAAAGACCCCCCCTGCAACCCTTCCAAACCCCGATTCGGCCAGTCGACAAGGCGACCCCGATTCGCGCGCCGGTAACGTCGACGTGCGAAAGCGCGAACCAGAAACCAGGCAGAAACACGAGCATGTGTGCGACAAGAATCCGCGCACCGGGACGGTCAAAACCCTATGGGGCAACAAAGATCGACAGCACACAGACAAAGGACACGACCGCTATCACCGTCGGCAATCCCCACAAACCCCTCGAAGGGCATCTCAGAAGGTGAGCAATTTTTCGCACCCACAGTCCTCGCGCAATCAACTGACACTTGAAGCTCCAGGCCTCATGCGAGCACTTTTGCGTGCCCGGAGGCCTTTGGTAATCAGAACGCACTCGACAGGCGTGGCCGTTGAAAACGGTGGTTAAATTTACGCGGGACCTCAAAGTCCGCTGGGATCCGAACTTGGCGCTTGCTGGACTGGCCAAGAACCGGTTTGCGCGGGGGACGACGGATATTTTGATGAGCGGTGTGGAATTGCACAGAAGGAACGCTAGGCTTGGCTGCGTGTTCAGGGAGGCCCTGCTGCTGCTCACAAGTGTTTGTTCCAACAGAGCACGCGGAACAGAAATGGTCGTAACAGGTGCACCACGTCGGAAATTGGCGCAGCGCGGCCCCCAATAGACCCCCATGGACCCCGATTCTCCTCATCGACAAAGCGAACAGTCATGCAACCAGGACTCTGAAAAGATCCATGCAAACCGTAACCGTCTTATTTCAGCGACGCGGTCGAAACAACAATAATCATCCGAGCAGCCCGCGACTTCGCATGCTTCAGATTGCAAGTCCGCCGGGATCCGAACTTCGTCGCACGCTGAAAATTGGCATGGCATTATGAACTATCGACCCCACGCCCGAAAGATGGGAACTGTGTCCCGTAAAACGTAGTCATCAGGGCAACCCGGGATGGCATTGTGACTGCGAACGCGAAACCAACAACCGCCAAAAAAATGGGAACTTCGGATCCTGGCAAACTACAACAATCATGCGCTATTTTCGCACCTGCGCGTGCTCTCCCTGCGGCCGAGCGACTACAACAGATTGCTGCTTTTGCGAGAGCACTGCGCATGATTGCTGTAGTTCGTAGGGATCCGAACTTCCCATCTCGTCAGGCAACCACACGCCACGCGCCGTTTTTCGTTTGGCTGTTGTTGGTTTCGAGCTTGCGGTGACAATGGCGACCCCCCTTGCCCCGATGACTGAGACGTTTCCCGGAGGCGGCCGGATTGTTCGTTACAGAACGACGACATGTTTTCGTGTCGAGGTTGTCGTCACGAAACATGCGGCGCTCACGCCGAAGAAACGCCATCGTCATTGCAGCGAGCGGCGCAGGCGTTCTCCATCGCGCGCACGCAACGTGTGCGTTCTTCGTTCTGGAGCCCGCTGATGTTGCGCGCACAGTCCTGGCATTTGTCGTGCGGAATGCGATATCGCATCCCTCACGACCAGCGCCAGGAGCGCGCGCTCAACATCCATGGCCTCTATGGTGGATCATGTGCACGTTGTGTGCGAGGGATGGAGACGACAGCAACTCTCCCGGGATTGATGCCATAGTCTCTTCGGGGAGGGAGGCTCAAGTGTTGCGGCGAGAACACGAACACGGAACGACGACCCCCTCTTGTTTATGAATACCTTACCTCTCACTGCACGCCACGTTGACGGCGGACATCCTTCCCACCGTGGCCACCGCGCGACGCTTAGTACCAACAATGGTCGCCGCAGCCCATGCGTTTCCTTTGTGATAACCAACCTCTAATCTCTTTGTTGAGAACAGCAAACGAGCGAGGGAAGTGTTTCGAAGGGGTTTCGTGTTCCGCTGGGAATAGGCGATTTCGTGTTTGCCTCGACCGCGAGGGAGTGGTTTGCAATGACCAGCTTGTGATCAACGACAGTTTTTCTTCAATGCCAAGCCAAACAAGAGTCGTGGGGGCGGTCACGTGGAACGAATGAGAGAGAAGCAGAACGGGACACGCAAACCGTGTGCCCCGATGTCCACGTCATCCGTTCCCACCGTCCCAGCCACTTGCGACACGTGGCACGACATGAGGATAATGATGACGACGGTGATGAACACGATGATAGTGACGATTACGGTGGTGATGTTGATCTGGGCGACGATGTCGCTGACGATGATGACGATGTTGATGACGATGATGATGTCGATGATGATGTTCGTGATGATGATGATTGTGATGACGACGATGATGATGATGACTATGATGACGACGATGATGACGATGTTGATGATGGCGATGACAACGAAGAGGACGATGGCGGTGATTTCGATGACGGCGACGATGTCGCTGATGATGATGATGNGATGACGATGTTGATGATGGCGATGACAACGAAGAGGACGATGGCGGTGATTTCGATGACGGCGACGATGTCGCTGATGATGATGATGTTGTTGATGACGTTGATGATGTTGATGATGATGTCGATGATGATGATGATGTTGATGACGTTGACGAGGTTGATGATGATGTTGTTGATGATGATGATGATGTTGATGAAGATGATGATGATCACGATGACAATGATGGTGATGATGATGATAAAGATGAAGATGATGACGCTGGTGGTGGTGGCGACGATGATGGTGATGATGGGGGCGATGATGATGATCACGGGGCCAATTGCGAGGAAATAACGAGCGGGAATCAGAAGGGGACACAGAAACCATGTGGCCCAATGTCACCAACATCCTTTCCCTCCGTCCCCGCGACTTGAAACAGGTGGCGCGACGCGGCCGCTCCCATGGGCCGGCAAACATGCCTGACACGAGGGCAGGTAGAACAGCACTTTACCTTGAAGAGGGCACAACGCACACGATGGCGCTGCTCTTTGACGGCTCACAGTTCTTCGAGGAGGCGCAGTTCTTCGACGACGGCGAAGCGCACACGATGGCGCAACTGTTCGAGGGCTCAGTGCAAACGGCTTTGGCCACTTGCTGACGCAGGACGCAGAGACGAGATGTCGAAGCGGAGACAACCGAACCACAGACGACAGTTGTCGACGAGAGGAAGACCCTGCGCCCACGCCTGCCGCCGCCTGGCGCAACAGCGGAGCAGAAAAGGGGATGGAGGATGTCGCTGATGGGACGCCGAGCGCGAATGCGCTCGTCAGGCTCAAGATGCGAAAGGGCTGCCCCAGACCCGAGGCAGCTGAGCGTCAGACTGTCGTCGCACCCCATGGAAAGACCCGCCTGTGTCCCCCCGCACGGCCACAGACCCCGCTCGCCAGCCAGGAGACGCGAATTGCCGCAAACCCCTCCAACCTCCCCTTTCCCCCAGCCCCCCGCTCCTCTCCTCCCTCCCGCGGTTCTCCCCCCTCACCCCTTGAAAGTACAAACTGCCCCCCGCCGACACCTGAGACCCCCTCCACCGGGGCCCGCGAACCCGAAGACACGAACGCGAGGGGCCCGGAACAAGGGCCCGGTTTCCAATGACGTCCGGGAAGGGCCAGCCCGTAGGGACGTTTTTTGTCACATTTCGACGCACCAGCCCCCCCTCGCGACAATTTCGATGTGCAGCCACCGTTCGATGCGCGGATCGAACAGACTAGAGTCGGCGCACGGACCCTGCGCAGAAATCCGAAACGGAAGGCCCGAGGGGGCCTCGTGTCCCGCGCGCCTACAAATACGAGCGGCGCCCTGGGCATTGACGATGCGTTTTGCATTTTTTGCTGGGGAGATGCTGCCCGACGGAAGCCACGCACCGCCACTCTCGTCAACAGCTGGCGCGCCATAGCTGGCACAGCCATTCTTCACCACGCACGTTTCGTGGCACCGACGCACCCCACATGCCCTCGCATGTCCCTCCGCCTACCAAGACGCTGTCCACGTCATATTCGACGTCGCTCCCGATCTCCTTTGTCGGAAGGCGCGACCGCCACCCCACGCAGCACCCCAGCAAACGCGAAGTGCAGGCCCAAAGGTGGACAGAGTGCCGTCACGACAAACGCCGGGGTTCGCGCTCATCTTCACTCGGCAGTTCCACACGGTGAGTGCGCACGCAGTCGGGATGTATGTTTGCATGTGCGCGCGTGTGGGGGAGGTTTTTTGTGACAGTATGCTCGCGCTGATCGAAAGATTTCGTGCCTGCATGTGTGTGGGTGGGCGTGTGTGTGTGTGTGTGTTTGTGTGTGATTGTGTGTTTGTGCATGCTTCATTGTGTGTGTGTGTGTGTGTTCGAGTGCGTGTTCCCTTGGGTTTGTGTCTGTATTGAAGTGTGTGCCACACGCGCGAGGCAGGATCGTGCGCGCGTTTGTATCTGAGGGGCATGTGTGTGCGGGCGCCGTGTGTTGGCACGTGTGTGTGTGTGTGTGTGTGTGTGCGTGTGTGTGCCTGTCTATGCATATGTGTTCGCATGCGTGTGTGTTCGCGAGCGTTTTTCGCGGGGAGATGCGCGCGAACGTGCGCGGTCAGGGACGAACGTCATGGTTCACCCTTCGATTCCGCTTGTGTGTGGATGTGTGAGGATGTGTGAGGAGAGTATCAACAAACGATTGCGCTCGTGCTGTACTCAAGTGGCGAAGCACGGAAGCTCGGATCGAACACGGGGCGGCCAATAACGAAACACAACGTCATCGTGAGCACTTGCCATACCCAATCTGCCCCAATGGATGATCAATCGAAATACGCGGTGGCAATGTCGACACTGCTTGGATCGAACACGCGGTGGTTTTGTGTCCTGTCCCAATGTCATGTCCGTCGATCTGTCCAATGGATGATCAATCGAAACACGCGGCGGTTTTGTGTGCTGTCCCAATGCCATGTCCGCCGATCTGCCCAATGGATGATCAATCGAAACACGCGGTGGCAATGTCGACACAATTAACGCATCCATCGACCAATCGCGAAACACAATTAGATCACTCGCGATCGGATGATTGGTCGTGTCTGCCGTGTCGACGCTACCACCGTGTGTGTGTTGTTCTTTCTGTCGTGTGTGTTCAGATCACTCGTGATCTGATGGTCGATCAGATCCATGACAATATGTACACCACACACGTGATGAACCAACCCATCACGAAACGCAAGTCGACCACTCGCGATCGGGTGATAGATGTTGTTTGCCTCCCCAACAACAGCGTCGCTGATCTGCCCGACGGATGATTAACCAACGCAGGAGGCGACAACGCATCCAACGGACCAATCGCGAAACGACAGAAGATTACTTGCGATCGGATGATTGATCGTGTGTGCTGCACCGAAGATCAACCCGCCGACGAGCGACCTGTTTATTTACCCACCTGACAGTCCTCGACCTAACCGTCGATCGGTCAGGAAATCTGCCAGGATCAATTGATTGGTCGACAGCTCGGTTGGCGATTGCTCAGCTGGTTGATCAAGCACCACACCAACCGCCAACCGAGCAGTCGATCGACTGTTCTGTGCTAATTGATCGTGGAGAACAATCGCGGAGAATCCTCAAGGCAAATGATCATGTGCACGGTCGAAACCGGCGAACGAAACGCACAACCGATCGAAAAAACGTCGATCCCGATCTTCAAACGAATAAAAAGCACTTCGTCATAATCTTGTTGCACATCGAACCTCGTATAACATCGAACCATGCTGCCCACGGAACCTGGCTCCACATCAAACCTCGGCGGGCGTCGAACCTCGTCGGACGTCGAACTTTGAGCACCCACCACCCCACGCATCGCCGACACTATTCTCGTGATCGGAACGTGGCCGTTCCAACCGATTTGATCGCGCAATCAAACACCGGAAGAAGTTGGGATCCCGGCGAGCTTGTGCAGCTGTTCGAACACGCTTCTCAACCCCGGTGCGCAACCACAGCCAGGCACGTGGAAAATTAGAAGTCCACCGGGATCCGAACTTCAAGAAATTGCTGGACGGCGAGTTTGGCAGACACGTGCGCATCTCCCACGCAATTTCGCCAAGTTCGGATCCCGGCGAACTTCATGCAGCTGTTCGAACACGCTTCGCAACCCCGGTCCCCAACCACAGCCTAGGACGTGTAAAAATTGGAAGTCCGCCGGGATTCAAACTTTAAGAAATTGCTGGACGGCGAGTTCGGCAGACAGGTGTATGTCTCCCATGCAATTTCGCCAAGTCCGAATCCCGGTGAACTTCATGCAGTTGTATGTCTCCCTCGCAACCCAGGTCCGCAACCACAACCTGGGACGTGGAAAAATATGAAGTCCGCCGGGATCCGAACTTCAAGAAATTCGCATGACGGCGAGTTCGGCAGACAGGTGTGTATCTCCCATTTCGCCAAGTTCGGATCCCGGCCAACTACAGGTTCTTGCTGGCCTGCGGATCCAAACCTCGCTCGCATTATTCCTTGCACACTCGTCGAGTCCGAACCTCGACGAACCTCAGATCCGTGATAATGCGAAGTCCACCAGGATCCGGACTTCTACTGCACGGTTCCTCGCACAGACGTCAAGTTCGCACCCCGGCGACTTCGCTTGTCTCAATGTGCGGGTTCAGAACGTGGGTTTCTAGCTCCCGGGGTTTGGCACAACTTTGTATTTGAAAAAATGTGTAGCCCGCCGGTTGATTCTCTCCCACGCGGTCTCGAGAAATTCGGATCCTGGCGAACACCCTCCCGTGGATCCGGGCATCGCGTGGCAAGTTCGGACCCCGACGAACTTCGCGTCACGCATGGTGTGGGTACTGACTGTGTCCTTTCTCACGAACGGGTGTTTACCACAACTTTTGTTTCGCAAAAATGCGAAGTCCGCCGGGATCCGTACTTCTCGTGCAAAGGTTCCTCGTCTCATCGTCGGGTTCGCCTGCTGGGTCGTGGATCCGAACCTGCTGTCTTCCTTTCGCAATGCATGTGGCAGGAGATGTTCCTTTCGCAAGTTCGGATCCCGGCGAATTTTCCAAGTTCGGATCCCGGAAAATTTGAGATGTCTTCCTTTCGCAATGCATGTGGCAGGAGATGTTCCTGCAGGGCCGTGGACCAGAACCTGCCGTGCACGGTTCCTCAGACATTCGTAAATTTCGGATCACGGCGGACGACGGATTCTATAAATGCAAAGCCTGCTGAGATCCGAACTTCCCGTGCACGGTTCGTCGAAAAACCGTCGACTTCGGACCCCGGCGTGCTTCACCTTTCGGGTGGTGCGGGTTCTGACTGTGGACTTCCTGGCGACCGGTGGATTGCCACAACTTTTCATTCGTGCGAAATTGAAGTCCGCGTGGACCCAAACTTCTTGGCAGTTTTCGAGGTAGGGTTTCGGAGACAGCTTCGTCTTTCCCGTGCAGTCTCTCCAAGTTCAGATCCAGGCAAACATGTCGCTGGGCGTGTTTGCGGCTGGCCCGCGGGCCGGTAGAGGTGAACACCGACGAAGCCGGCAACCCGAAATCGGATCTTGGGGCATACACTGCGTCTAATGCCATGGGTCGCACATCGCAAGACATGACGCGTTTACGAGTGTCTCCGCGCCCGTGTGTGTCGTCGGGCATGTGCGCGTGGTGTGCAGGTTGCGTGATGGAGGGGACCTTCTCGACACCACGCATCTTCTAGTCGATCTTCTCGAAACCACAGGCCATGAGTGCCGGGACGCACATTCGCTTAGCAGAACCTTTTCGTCCTTGTGCGAAATCCGTGCAGCGTTTCAACGGTGTGACGACGATCCACGGAGCAACCGCAGAGGACTTCGACGAGGACACATGGATGACCGTCGTTCCGTGCAGGGACGCGCATTTTGACGACTGGGGCAAGGGCAATTGGGCCAGTATGGAGAGTCATTGCCCTTGGGCAAGCCAGTACAAGTTCGCGAATATGTTGGAGTTCGGGGACCTCATCCCACTGCCTGCCGCTGTCCTCGGACATAAATTCTTGAACCATATGCGGAAAGCACTAAGCTGCAGTAGCCGCTATTTCAGTTGCCTCGACTGCCACAACGTCAGGTCGTCGCCACGAACTTGGGGTGGCTCGCGGAAACAAGAGTTGGTGGACTGCGCTCGTCGCTGCTCATTCCTGGACCAGTACCCGCTCCGTTGCCCTGGGATTTCCCCACGAGCTGTGTCGTACTGCTGTGTGCGGTTGACTGTATCCGGATCTGATTTCGCCAGAGTTCTGTGTGTCGCTGCTTTCAACAAGAGGAGGAAACTCGTCGACGCWGTTGTGCTCGTGTCGCGCAACGAGGTTGTGATTGAAGGGTCCWAATTCGTGYCGATGCGTGGGCCTGAACGTGTGGATGGGTGGCCAGATTTGGTGATAGCARGTCAGGTTCAAAACTATTCGTTGTTTCGTGAGGTTGAGGAGAAAGCGGCTGACATACGGGACTGCATAGGAAACTCCTTGGCACGACCGGTGGTGTTTGTTAGGATGAAATACATGTCCGTTTTTTTGGAGATTGCATCGGTCGCCGAACCGCAGACCCTCGTCTACGGATCGTCACTGAATGCTTTGTTTGGCTTCGGTTCACGACGTTGTCCCGGAGGATCCCCAAATGTCGCCGCATCCGAACCGGTCTTTAGTCCTCCTGTTTGAGGGAAAAGAACAACGAGGGACGAGATGCGGTTGTGCTGCCTAACATGTCAGATTTGTAGGAGTCAGTAGGACTGCAGAGAAGTGTGAGACTCCGCGGTTGCTGGTACACGCTGCACCGCGCGCTTGTCGTGCAAATCCCTGGTCGTCGTTCGGTTCAGTGACATGACGAAAGTTATGTTGGACGTCCATCTTTGACGCCGTCTCCTGCCATGTCGTGCCCCGGCGAAGTTCGGATCTCGGCGAACTTCGCGTTCTGGCCTCTCCGTTAATTTGTCTCTGATGTCATTGACGTCGGGCGGGCCATGGGAAAGACCCATCACCGCGGAAGGATCTGCCCGTAACCGGTTTTCGCCCGTCCACCATCAACATGTGTCAAACAGTCGGTCACTGTCGTAGCGAGATGCCAAAAGCACTCTTAGAGATCCCCGTCGCAAGGTCGCGCGAGCTTCGTGTTTCCTGAAACCCGTTGGAGATCCCGGTTGGTGGGCCCTCTTGTTGGAAATTTCGTTGGCACCGTGCTAGGACACCTTGCTAGGACCCCAACTTTCTGTCTGCCTCTCTCGCAGCCTCCTGAAGTTCGGATCCCGGCGAACTTCCTGTGACGCCTGTGTATTGAACGGGCGTTGGGCTTGATGATCCCCGGTGGATTGCGACACGAGTCAAACCCTGATCCACAACTGCTCCTCCAGGGACTCATACAGTGTTGTCGCGGCTGCTCGTTTGAACTTGGCTTCATCCAATGCCAAGCTGCGCATATCAGAAGAACTTCGGATTTCGGGGAACTTATCCTTCTCAAGCGGCCTTTTGTGTTAGTGCGGCCTTTCCGGGTCGTCATTCAGTCCAATCTGTGTTTGCCTGACGCCGTCTCTGCCTGTCGCATTTTCCTGAAGTTCGGATCCCGGCGAACTTCACGTTTCGGTGGGTGCGTTGGTTTGGCTTCGSACAGGYACTTTTAGTACGGATCTCGGTGAACTTCGCGTCCTTAACTGTCCGGGTTCCTATTGCTAAACGGACGACACTGCCCCGTCCAACGCGGGCTTTGTGCGTCACCACCCGTCCATTCCCGATCGGGTGGACATCCGTGTTCCCGAAAAAAAACGACGTGGTTGTCGCCCGGTTGCATGAAGCGTGTGCCCTTTTAAAGAATGATCTCGTTGCAGGTAAGAGGTCATTGCTGGTCTTCGCGTTAGAAGTTCGCGGGATCCGAACTTCGAGGTCCTCGGATAGCGTCATGTGACCGACGGGTTGAGGGCAAGGTGTGCCTCCTCTGTTTTTCGCCTGCGTTGTGCTTTGACTGCGATTTGACGCTCGCTGGTGTTTTATTTGTTTTCCGTTGTCGTCCGCAGACAATATGTCTTCGTCCAGGGGCGAAGGGGAGCCTGCAGCGACCTCCGGGATGGGATCTGGGAAAGATTCTACAAAACGGTCGTCCACGACCTCGAGGACGTGGTCCGACCACGCTAGGTCGAAATGGTTCGTCGACTGGTGCTGTGCTGATGCTACGAACCCAGTCCAACAGTCGTGTGGTCCTGTGATCTTCGTCGAAGCCAACAAGCACCGCAGGGTTCTGGGGTCTGTCTTGTGGTGGGAGAATGCGAAAGGCAGTCGTCGACGGTTTTACATGAAACATGTGTACGGTTCGAAGGGGAACGTCGTCGCCGGTGCCAAGGGGGCAGTTCTCGACATGTGTCTGTTCGAGGGGTTCGGAGCAGGTGCTGCGAACACCCCGTTCTACAACGACCTCCGGCGGCAGGGCGGGTTTGTTTTGGGTCGAGAGTTCTTCGACCTGTTGGAGGACAAGGGCATCGCCCTCGACGTCCCTTGCGAAGTCGGTCCCGACCTGAAACTGTCAATGCCTTTGCAGCCGTGCGGCGGTTGTGAGTCGAGCGGGGCAGCGGGGGAAGGGGGTGATCTGGCTTCCAGGGAGGCTACACATGTGCAGCGGGAGGATGCCAGACGTGAGTTTGACGACAGCGAAGATGAGGCGACACCGCGTCCGCCATTTTTGCCGTCGAGGGAAAGAGACAGGTCCGTGCTGTCCATACCTGGGGCCCGACAACAGACCGCAGTGGATCCCAGAGAAGAGGAAGTCCTGTGTGGGTCTGACTTGGAGCCCGCCGAGGGCAATGGCGCTGAAGGCGAGGCCGTGGGCGGGGAGGGAGTGCAGGGCACTCCCCAAAAAAGGAGGGGAGAATGTCAAGAAGAGTTGGTGGGCTCTTTGAAGAAACAGAAGACCAAGACCCCGAGGACTGCGGGAAAGAAACGGAAGGGGAGGGGGGTGGAAGAGGGTCACCCCGGTAGCAAACATCCAACTTCGAAACATAAACAGCCTGAGTCGGGACCTTCTTCACCACGGCCTGCCATCGACGTGGACGCCGGGTACTTCCTGGAGTACAAAGACGGCGTCAGGACAAGGCGGGAGTTTGAGATCAGCCCGGCTTAGATCGTTGACATAAGGGAGTGGGAGGATCTTTACAACCAGCGGTCGCTAGATCCCGTCCTTGTGGAAACGATAAGGGAAGCAATGTGGTCTTCGTTCGCAAATAAAGAACAGGCGTACGAGTTGCCGGTCTTCAAACTCGCATCACTGGGGCTTCAAAAACCAACTCCTGGGACCAAGGCACAACGTCTGAAGCCGAGGGAGTGGAAGGATGAGCTGGCGGGATAATACTACTACTATGCGGTGTGCGCGCAGCACAACGCGGCTGCAGCCAGGTCGCTGCTCGGCAGCGAGGTGGCCAAGAAGTACAATTTCGAGCGGTGGCCGGCATGGATGGTGTACTTTTCCGACGATGACTTTGAAGGGTATTTTCTTGTTAGTTCACAGGACAACAAGAAGCACCTGAAGGCGCCTCCCAGACAGTTGAAACTTTCTATGAAAGACATTCGATGGCAGTGGAAGCATGATGGTTGCCCGAAAGCTGTGATGGGGAACCCTAGCAGGAAACAATATCAGGTCCGGGCTTGGCGTAAGTTTTGTACAACGGCGCTCCATAAGGCGCCTCAAAACAGCTTGTGGCTTCTCGCGGATCAAAAGGAAGAGGAGGCCATTAAGAAGCAAAATACTGCCCTGCGTTCTTACTTACCTCTTGCGATGGCCGGGGAAAATGTTTGAAAACTGGCCGTGAAATTTTTCGAAAAATGGGAGACGGGCAGATTGCTGAGCCACGATGGGGCGAAGTGGACCGTCAAAAAGAAAAAGGTCAAAAATGTAAAGTCTGAGGCCGCCTACATCCACAACGACAAATTGGGCAGAACGGAGGTGGTGTACAACGTCCCTGTGGACCCGCTGAATAAAAAGGGCAAAAAGGAGAAAGAGGAGGGCGATTGGTTTGTGCAAGTGCCAGACCCGGACGCGCATTGTTGAAAAGCAATGGAATCATTCACGGACAATGAGAAGTGGCGCGTTTTGAAAAAGGTGCTTGCTTGCGAGGTCGTTTGGGTCCAGGCCGGGTCCCCGTCGTTGGCGAAGTTGCCAAAGCTCAGCGTGCAGGACATGGTTCAGCTGGTGAAGTGCGACCACGTGCTGGTCTGGTTGTGGAATTACTACCAATTCAAGCACGAGACGAGGCCGGACGCGGACTGGATCCTAAGGTACCCTTTCCTGAAATCGAGGTCTGCCGTGTTCAAGAAGTTTGAAGGTCAGGGATTGGATGAAAAGTTGTGGGATAACAGCAAGAAACACATTTCCGACTCGGCGTTGTTCAACGACTGCCCGCCGTACATGGGTTGCGACTAGGACAACTCGATTGAGGTGACAGAGAAGTTGGCGGGCCACAAAAAGTTGTCCGTCGACTGGAGAAACAAGGTTCTCTCCGTGTTGAATGGAAGCTGACTGAAGAGCCGGGAAGTCGCACTTGCCGAAGGCGTCGTTCACATTAAATAGAAAGACACGGGGGACGTGACATCCATCGCGCCGTTCGCCAACGACCCTTTAGAGGCGGACATCAGGGGCGCAGAGCTGAAAGAGGCAGTGACTGCCACAAAGAGCCACACGTTCATCCTCGATCTGTGCGAGCCGGTTGACCTCAAAATGTGGAAGCTCCAAGCGTGGGAGACTTTGAATTTCTATCTTCAGACGTGGTGTCCCTCGCATTGGACTCTCGTTGTTTTCGTGCCACGGCAGCACAACCTATCGTTTCTCGCCAGCATGCACCATCTTTCTTTCGTCAAGTTGTTGGAAGGGAAGTGGGTGCGGAAAGTGCAGCAAAAAAAAAGTTTCCCCGTTGGGAACAATTTGTACACGGAGGAAGACCGCATGTACATCCTCTTCAAGGGTGACGATCTGCGCGTCAACACGTCCGTGGTCTACGAGGGAAACCTGCCCACGGGTGCCGCTGCTGCGGTGCGATTGCCTTAGAGGGTCACCCAGACAGATGTGTCCGAGATTCCTTTCACGCCTTGCGACTGGTCGCTGGTGGCGCCTGAACGACAGGGCAGCGTCTACGGGGATATGCAACGCAATCCGACCCAATTCGTCGGTCTTCTTGATTTTCTTGGCAAGAAGGGAGAGGGTGTTGTGTTCCTTGGGAAACCGCACGCACGAAGCGTCTGGGAGCTTCTGAAGGCCGGCCGACACGTTGTCGCAATGGAAGGGAACTCCGACCTCTTGCAATTCACGATGCAGATGGTGAAAAGCGAGGTCAATTCGAGTGGGCACAATTGTAAGTTCATGATCGTGCGGCCAACACGGGATAAGGTGTGGAGCAAGAAGACGGATATGTGGTTCAAGTTGAGCAAGAGGAAGAGGAACAAAATATACGATTTCTTGTTCTTTCAAACGCGTCCGAAGAGGGACACTGAAGCCGAGTACATCCGCCGGAAGGACCACATGTTGGCACTGCTCGACAACTACCACTTCGCCTCCCGCATGAACGCGAAGACGTTTATCGAAAGGTTGCAGCCGCTGTACTTCGTAGAGTCCGAGGAGCAGTTGAAGTTAGCCAGTTACGCTTCCCTGATCTCCACTGACGACGAGGAAACCATAGGTGTGGAGTTTGTCAGCAAAGCGAAGGAGGAGGAGAGCGACACGGAGAGCATCGACCTGCAGTACGACCCGCCTCCGGCGGACCACGGCCGAGGGTCCTCGTCGGCTGGTCCGTCACCAAGCGCTGCAGCCCTCGTGTCACCATTCGCCAAACCGGCGCCGGGCACCACGCCGATGAAGTTGCTGGAGAGACTTAGAGCTCTGGCCGCCCCCCCGCCCGCTTTGCGTCCCGGGTCCGTTGTCCCGCCCAATCATCCGTCTTGGAAGGATGATAACATCCACTTCTTGCTTGAACCGCAACGTCATTCACCTGAGCAAGAATGGGGCCATGACATGGTTTGGCATCCGGGAATCATCCAGCCAGCGATACGAAATGGCGAGTGGGTCATGGCCATGGCAATCCCGGGCGCAGGATGGGTGTCATTCCCACGCGAGTCGAAGTCCTACTTCCTGCACCTCGCGAGGATTTCGGTCCTCCAGAAAGTGAAGGTCGAAAATGACACTTTAGCACCCGGCGACCTGTCCCTCATTTCCACTGTCGGTCGACTCTTTGACGAGCTTCAGGACAAGTGCTGGTTGGAATTGACGGAGGACTACTACGAGCTCGACATGAGTCCGTCGAAGGGCGTGGTGGACTGGAAAGTGCCCCCTCCCAGTGGGCCGGACGGTGGTTCCGGGGGGGGTCACCTGGAAGCGGAGGGGATGGGGGTAGCGACGCAGGGGGTGTCAAAGGAATCCCGCCTATGGGGGAGAGAGGGTCTCACGGTCGCAACACGACACCGGGCGGCAGCGCCGGGGTGGCGGGTTTCGTCGTTGACCGGACTCCGTCGACAGGCACCCGGCCCGAGCACACGACACACTCCGCCGACCCCCAGACTTCGTCCGTGGGCTCAGCGAGGGACACGTTGGCAGCCTTGGTTGCTCTGGGCATTCGCTCGGCCGGAAAGCCGAACTCCGCCGGGATCCGGACTACATCGGGTGAGGAGCCGCCTGAGCGGTCCGGAATGCGAAGCTGCTCGGGGTCGGGGGATCCAAGTACGGATCGAGAAATTTACAGCATTGCGGCAAGGGACGGAGACGTCGGAACGGTGTCGCTTGCGTGGGAGCGACGGCCGCAAGGATTGCAGCGGGAGGCTGCAAGTGCAGGGTCCGGCGACACGGAGACCACGAAGTCCGCCGAGATCCGAACTTCTTCGGGCGGGGTTTGTCGGCCAGAGATTGTCGTGCCGTTGAGAGGGGCAGCGTGCACGGGGACCGAAGGGCGGTCCTCACGATTTGGCACGGGTACCGCGGAAGGGGACGAGTTTCGTGGGAGGGAAGTAGGGGAGGAAACGGAGGAACAGAAGGGAGCGCAAGAAGGGGAGGAAGAAGGGGAAGAAGAGGTGGAAGGGGAGGAAGCGGGAAAAACGGAGCTAATTGATTTGTTTGAAGGAAGGGAGGGTGCCGGGTCTAGAGAAGACGAAGTGGAACACAATGAGGACGATGCCGGATCAGGAGAGTCGTCTGACGAGTTCGAACAACTGTATGGAGAGCATCACGAGGATGATGGCGACGACGATGCCACAGCAATAGAGATGGAGACACAAGTGGTCAGCAGCCTTTCCACAGAGTCTGAAGATTATGCGCTCCGTCCACTGACGTCTGCTGTCGACTTGCAGCGCCGGTTCGACGAGGCTTCCGTCGCTATCATCTCGTCTGAAAAAAGTCGACGTATAAGCATCGACGAAGTTATCAACGGTATCCTCCGCGACCACAACGTGTCTGCCCGTCCGTCCGCAACTGCCAACGTCGCATCTTCCGTGGCAGCTGCCCTCGCTTCGTCGGCGCTGAAGTCTCTGGTAATGCAGGCCACCCTTGCCGCCGAAGGGGAAGGCGAGTGCGGTGGAGGACAGCATTTGACGTCCCCAAAAAAATCGAAGTTCAGCGGTCAGGCTCTCGACGTGCTCGCTTTGCCTGCGCCAAATTCACCATCGAAGGAGCGGAGAGAGAAACAGACTTGTAAGCCTTAAAGAACGCCTGCGCATCCGGATGTCGCCGGATTATAGTCCGTGCTATACACACGACGACTGTCCACACTGTCTGTGCATACGGGAAGTTCCGGGTGCTGGCATGCTACAGCCAGAAGCCCTTCCTACTCCAGCTCGTCCGCCTATCTGTGACTCGGCTGGGTTGCTAGTCGAGGGCGGCGAAAACTTCGTCCAAAACCTTACACTCCATCCAAGGAAGGATCTGCCCCGGCTGAGGAAGTGGCCAAGGTGCTAAGAAAGTGGCCGAGTACCTGGACTGACAGTTTTCCCTTCTCGGGAATAGTGCCGGTTTTAGTCCGCCGGGATCCGAACTTCCTTTGTCGATGCGTGATGTGGTCAGTCTCAGTGGGACTGGCGTGTTCAAAAGTCCGCCGCAGTCCGAGCTTCGCGGATTGCTGGCCTCCGGCTTCGAAGAGTCGTGGTGGTTTTCCGTTGCGAAGTGCGGGGGTGATAAGCTCGGATGTCGCAGTCATTTTGTTTTCCAGTTGCACAACCGCACCTGGGTGCACATGACCACGCGAGATCAGGGTCCTGTGGTCGGAAAGGTCCTGCTTGACTGTTGCGTCTGTACGAATGTATGGTTCTCATTTTTCTGTTTGTCTTTCTTCTGTTGTATAGGGGTGGTGTCATCTCGAACACGGAGATCCTCCAAATATCCAGAGCACATATTGCAGAAAGTCCTCGGGTTGAGTAAAAAACACAAGGATATGTTAAAGGCATAAGGGGTTGATGTCAAGATCGGGAAGAAGGAGTACACCGTTGCCATTGAGGAATGTCTTTCTTTTCTTGCCCCAGAGAAAGGGACATATCCACGATCTGTGAGTAGGGGTCAGGCCATGTATGAGAAGTACTTAGCAATGCGTCATGCACCGGGGGAACCCCACGTGTCCTTTGCTCGATGTTGTGCAGTGCGGGCAACAAGTGCAGCACGCGGGAAAAGTTTCGCTGCGACGATTGCGCCTCTGAGCTTGGGGGTTTTGGATCACATTGTACGAGGCTCGGTGCCGTCTAACACTATTCTCTCTATACTGGGCGATGGTTAATTTCGGATTGCAGCAAAAGATCTCCTCACCCTCGTGCATGTCAACGGCAGGGTGAATGATGAGGTGGTCAATTTCATTATGGCGTTGTTGAGGTCGACCGCATGTGGGTCACGTGACATCTCTTGAGGCCTTCAAGTCTTCAGCTTTAATTCGTTCTTCTTCAGTAAACTACGACTTCAAGGACACGGTGGGGTGCAGAGGTGGGCTAAAAATGTAGATTTGCTTCGTTACGATATTATCTTCGCTCCTGTCCACAAAGATGATGATCACTGGATCCTCGATTCCGTCAACATGAGATATGATGTTCTCGAAATTTTTTATTTTTTTCCTCGCATTGTAGCTGATTCTAGTTTTTACCTTAGTGTTTTCGGGTTGAYTGTGCAGTATTTGGAACGTCAAACATCACATAGGCAGTCAGGTAGGAATTGGAAGTCCATTGTGGGAAATGTTGTGGTGGATGGAGTTCCGAGACAAGTGGATGGAGCAAGCTGTAGTGTGTTCATGTTGATGTATGTGACATTGTTGCAACATGGAGATCGACCGCCTTTCCGGTTCTCTTGTAAAGATATTCCGCTTCTTAGACGACAATTAGCATCATGTGTCTTAGAACATCGTTGTCTTTGATGGATTTGATTGACTTCGAAACTTTTTTTTAAGGTGTTTCATTCGTTGATCGTTAAATTTCGTAAATCGAGACATTATTCAATCGTCCTTCTGCCAGAGGCATTGCTTTTTTTTATCGTTTCGAGTTCGCATTATCTACGGCAAGCTCAATGCATGTCCTGCGTCATGTATGGGCTTTGTAATCTTTGTCACGTAATGTTCCATGTTCCGAATTCTGTTCAAGTTGAAGTATTGTGTTCCATGTTTCGAATTCTGTTCAACTGGAAGTGTAAACATGATTGTGAAACTGGTTAGTGGATGAATGAGAAATCTCATCTTATGTGAAATTGGTCAGTGGATGCCCAAACCTTCTTTGCATAGCCATTTGAAATGCGGATATTCATCGCGATGGAGCACAACTTAATCTAATTCAATCTAATTACATTGCTAATTTTGTTTACAAAATTTCTACAACTATGGATGTCAGCAAACTTTCGCATTTGGGGCGACTGGGCGAGCATGCCCATGTACAAACACTGCAGTCAAAAATGAATTCGTAAGAAAGAGGACAGTGTCACAATATAGTTACTTTGTCTTTTATCACATTTATGAAATTGAAGTTTGACAAGTTAGGATCACAGCACAGTTCCACACAGGGTTCCGTTTGGCGTGCCAATCGTTGTTCGTTTATGAAGTTTGACTAGTATGGATCCCAACACACTTCCCCACAGGATCACCAACATATTTTTGATATTCAACAAGTAAGGATCCCAACACACTTCCACATTTGGGATTTCATTTATGAAGGTTCACAAGTATGGATCTCAGCACGCTTCTGCATGTGGTGGCGGGTTTTTGATGTTCAACAAGTAAGGATCCCAACCCCTGGATGGGCATGCCTACGTTGCTTAGGCTGCAGCCAAAAATTAATTCATTAGAAAAATGACACAGTATAATGTCCTATTTTAATGAATAACGTGTTGTGTTCGCTGAAACAAGAGTTGATAGACACAGCTCGTCATTGTTTATTCTTGGAGCAGTACCCACTCCGTTGCCCAGGAATTTATCCACGAGCTGTATCATACTGTTGCGTGCGGTTGAGTATTACCGGATATGAATTCGCAAGAGTGTTATGTGTGGCTTCTTCAAACAAATCCAGAAAACTTGTAAATGCAGTTGTGCGTGTATCACGGAACATGCTTTTTCTTCGGCCGCCACAGGGTTGGTGGTTGCCTGTTCGCATGGATCTAGATGGACGGTCAGATGTAGTGATAGATGGCCAGATTCAAAATCCGGCATTGTGGCAACAGCTGAAAGAGAAAGCGTTGCCATACGAGACGCCATTGGGAATTCCTTAGCACGTCCGGGAGGGTTTGTTAGGTTGAAATACATGTCGGTATTTTCGGATAATGCAACAATCAAAGAGCCGCAGATCCACGTATATGGATCGTTCATGAATGCTATGTATGGTTTCAGTGCACGACCTCGTCCGCGACAAACCCCGTACGTCACAAGATTCGGACGGGTTATCAGACCTCCTACTAAAGGGATGTAGTTAGTGACAATGTAATCATAGCGGAGATACTGTTTTTTATGTTTTTATCCGCTATATGGAGCATCTTCGTAGTTAAAAAATTTTGTAATTGTATAATAGACGTGCTTGTGAACAATATTCAAAATGTAATATGACGAAACTCGTGAATTTTGTTCGTCTACACGCTCAACTTGCAGGATGGAAGTCGGTCAAACAAACTCGCATGGAAGCGGATCCTCTCATCAAGTTCCATCAACAGTTGAGGATCTCATTATCTTAGACACTAACATTTGGTCGGTTGATAGCTTCGATGAATTTGCGAATTATGAGTACATACATGTCGAAAACGAAGTTGGACCGGATGGTGAAATTCTATCGATCATGGGGTTTGTCAACGGACAAGAGACGATTGTGTCCGACAATGCATCAAATATGTGGTACCTCTACACAAAGGAGGATGACGCATACGTCATTGTATCGAGGAAAGACATTGTGGATCCTTTGGAGATGCTAGCCAACTGGAGGGAGGTATGCAGGAAACAAGACTGAGACGAGAAAGACAAATTGGAACAAAAAGTGTGCACGTGGTATTTCATTGGCAGAAAAGATTTTCTTGCACCGGTGGTGGTGGATTTCTATGGTCGAATCCGAGTATGCAATAGAGGCACGGTCATAGTGACACGGTCATAGTGACACTTTTTACAGCAGCGAAGATCACCAGCACGACAATGAATGTGTTGTTCACTGCCCGGGAAGAATTTTGGGACCCCGCGGGTTCGAGCAAACTCGAACAGTTTCGGAATCGGTTGAAAATTGACGCGACACTTAGAAAAGAGTTAGTGTATAGGGTTGACAGTTTGGTGCACGTGCAACTTCACTACCTTTTCGACAAATGTGAGGAAATAGTGTTCACATTCGAGCATAAAAAATGGGACACGGATGACGTGATTTGTACGAAGCAGTATCATCGATCGGGATAGAAAGAAGTACCGTTAGTGGGTGGCAGACAGAAGATAGTGATAGATTGTCCGTATTGTGAAGACATTAAGCACGCAACAAATTTTCTACCTCTTATTCTTCACAGGACCTAGGATAGTAGCCAGTAGCATAGCACGTTTGTCCAGGTCGAGACATGTTCAACAATCAATGCGCTTCATCGCTGAGACGCGTTCCGGGCTTCAATGGTCATATATGTTAATGACTTTGAACACTATGGAGATAGGAATTGTTAGCGCACTGCAACAATCGTTAGTTTCATTTTGTGTGGTGAACGCAAAATTATTTTTTTTGTTATGTTTAATCGTGTTTTTTTCACCTGTTATTTCGTTTTCCTGTTCCGATGATGTGGACGAAGTTTTGAAAATCGCAAACATTTGCAATTTACAAGCTCAAAGTTAGCATAAACAAACGTGTTTGAATTTATTTTTTCTTTTATTTTTTATTTTTCTTAGACACTCTTCGTTGTATCATAAACTACAATTTCTTCTTTCGAATAATGTCGATATTTGTCGCATGACTAATTTTGAACAATATTATGTAATCGATCTTGCAGGGTTGTAGTGCTCGACATTACAACAGGAGACAATAATACACGAACTTTATACAACAATGGCGCGCATCACTCCCATCGCAGTGCCTGCAGGGGCATCTCTCACAACAAGAAACGGTCCGTTTCTATACGAATGTGAGTCAATAGTAAGATGCGAAGTTGGTGGATGTAAATTATTTGTAGTTGCCGTGAGGTTAACAGAAATCGACGTGTATGACGTCCGAATTTACGGAAGTCAAGGACAAGCAGGGATAGTGGAAGAGTATGTGGAATGTCACGAAGCAGCTTTGCAAGTGAACGAGGAAAAAAAA